GCTCAAACGAAAGAGCGGGTCGAGAAATGGCGTGCTAGGACCTCTAAAGATGGTTTTGAAACAGGGGTGACTCCTAGACCCCACTGGACTATACATACTCCTAGACCCCATTGTCCTCCTAGACAATGATGTCACAACTCTGCTTTTCAATTGAAAACAGATATCATCTTTAGAGACATTTGTCATGTTTAGAGGCTCTAGCACGTCATTTCTCGACCCGCTCTTTCATTTGAGCCCAAAAAAACATTCATATCTTGTCTGACATCGCTGCTACAAACTCGGGTCTACAACTCGGGCTTTCAATTGAAAACCCGAGTTGAAGACCCGAGTTTGTAGCAAAGATGTCAGACAAGATATGAATGTTTTTTTGGGCTCAAACGAAAGAGCGGGTCGAGAAATGGCGTGCTAGGACCTCTAAAGATGGTGTTGAACCAGGGGAGACTCCTAGAACCCACTGGAAAATGTTGTCACAATTGCGCTTTTCAATTGAAAACAGACATCATCTTTAGAGAGATTTGTCATCTTTAAAGACTTCTGCACGCCATTTCTCGACCCGCTCTTTCATTTGAGCCAAAAAAAAACATTCATATCTTGTCTGACATCTCTGCTACAAACTCTGGTCATCAACTCTGCTTTCAGTTGAAATTGGAATTGTTTATTTACACAATAATAGGAGTGCATTGACAATTTTTTCTTAACTCGCAAAAATCTTCAAACAATTTGCTACCGATTGGTGATAAAATTTTTTGGAAATAATGAAATAGGGGGGATAACGCCTTTTTTTCAGGGGGGATTTTTCAAAAATTTATTTTAAAAAAAGTACTAACTAGCAAATATTTTTTATTAGCTCGCAATTTTCTTCAAAACAACTTCAATGAGGAAAAAAATAAAAATTTGGAATATCTATACATGAGGGGCTAATTGATCGGATCTTCTATCAGTAAATTCAGAAGAGAAGCGGAAGCAAAACCAGGGAGAGGTTGCCCAATGTGCTGCCACCTGCTCTATCGATCGTCCACCTACGGTTATATGTTAGCCCCCTCTCCATCCCCCTCCACCCGCCCACCCCCTTCCACCCCTTTCCCATCGTATAAACCCAACTACATTTGAAACTTGTACAGAGAGAAATATCACAGGTATATGCATTTCTCCGCAGATATAACTCAAGATTCTTCAGCCTGAAAAAATGCTTTTGCCCATTCTTTAAGGGCGGGGGGGGGGGGGGAATGTTCATCTCTGGGATATAAAAAAAGGATTAAAGGTGTAAATGACCCCCAGGATGGTAAATTTCACTTTGAAAATAGCCATTATGCACATGACGGGGACTAATGAAACCTTATGAATTGAGGGAACAGTGATTTTACGTCAACTCGAAAGTTGCTAAGTTATCTTGACACTTGCTAAGTGTCTTTAGCATTAACCTGATTTCTTCTTTTTCTTCGGGAGAAATTCAGAGAATTGTCTCTGATGTTTTAATTGAGATTTTGGGGGATTTTTTGTTCGTGCGTGGGAGGACGTTTTTGGAGGAGAGCGGAGGGAATGATGGAATTGAATTGCTGCGGGAAATTTTTGGCGAATGTTTCGAATAGAATTCCTGAGGGGAAATTTAAAAATGGTTTTTTGTCTGGAATTTTTCAATTTTTGTTGCAGTTTTTTTTCTTCAATTTTTCAATTTTTGTTTGGTCGGTTTTATTTCAGCAATTTTTGTCGAATGTTTTAATTTAGTGAACTGTTTGAATACTATTGCATTTGGAATATTTCACGTATTGAAAATAAACATTATTCCTCAAATGAAACCTCTCTAATTAGAAATCAATCTTTTGTTTGTCATTTACTGCATATTTACAACTATTTACAACTAATTCAGCTCGATCTATTGAATTCCATTTCCAATTTTCATGAAGTGAAAATATAAATTTTTCCTCAAATGAAATTTTTCCAATTAATAAATACCCTTTTCTGTCATCCTTGATCCCATAAAAATACTATTCTAAATATTTGATCCTGACAAAACACTATGACTTTAACTAACCGTCTTCAGTTCCTCCCTTCCCCCTTAATTCTTTCCGCGGAAAAATATCATCTGTAATTTCCATTCCTTCAACTCCGAGGGATATTGAATATTTTTCATGCAGTAAGAGGAAAATTTTAAGGGAAAAAATGAGGTATATTGAGAGCTCTACGCTAGGAGATGCAGAGAGGTAAATCCTCTCTTGCCGACCTCATTCGAATTGCATATGGTAAAGCACCGGAACGTGTACACAGTGCTTTTCCAACGGGTTACCCCTCCACCCCCTCCTTTATATTGGAACTGCAGTATATACTGGCTTTATATGCGCTGGCACACTTTTTTTTATAACGTACTTAATCCAGCATCATCAATAACATTCACGGATTTATGAATTTGCCTGTTAAAATTGATCCTCTGGTTGAATGAAACAGTGGGATTGAGGGGGTTGTATTTTACTCAGTGGAATGCTCTATTTGCATCTGTTGGGGAGCCTCGCGTTTCACTCTTCAGCATCGAGGATTGTATTTCTAACTTCGTGAAATTGAATTTACGAAGTTTAGTCACCAGTCAGTCAATACATATTCGCGGAGGCGTGAGTGCTATTGCTTTGTGCTTGGCAGATGTCATTAGACACTAGACACTGAGTACTCATTACCTCGTAATGTTCGTACGTTTGTGGATGCGTTGGGGTTACATTGGGGTGGATAATTATCGAGTGAAGACGCTTAATGGAAATTCATTTGAGGATGTAAACGCGCCGAACATTGCGCTCAATCGTCGATAGCGCGTGAGCTAACGTCGCGATTTGGACGAGTTAGATTTCACTTTACAGGCTGAAAAAATTGCTTTAAAATGAAAAAAAAATTATTGAGTTTCACTCTGCCAATTACGAGTTATTTGAGATTGAAAACAGGCCTTTCTGTTGAGTCCTCTCCCTTCACTTTAATTCTTTTTTCATCATAAATGTTTATTTATCTGGGAAACGGATGGTTTTCGGAGAAAATGTTATAAAACGTTTTTTGTGGAGAATTAAATTTCAGTTGAAAAATTTTTTATGAGATTTTTTCGTAGGACCATTCGTTGTGGATTAAAAACGCGAGGAAAGAAGTCTAAAAAGAGAATTCCACTCAGTTCTTTGTTAATTCTTTGTTAATTTAGATTTTAATTTAAAAAAAAATTATGTGATATTTATATTTATTTGTGGAGATTACACTTGGATAGGGTCAAAGAACCATCCGCATTCGGGCCAATTCCAATGACAATTCCGAGTTATTGAAGATTAAAAACAGATCTTGTTATTGAGTCCTCTCCCTTCACATCAATTCTTCCTCTATCATAAATATCCAATTATCTCCTAAACGAATGGTTTTAAGAGAAAATATCATAAAACATGTTTTGCGTAGAATTAAATTTCCGACAAAAAATAGCGTGTGACATTTTCTCGTGGGACCAATCGTTGTGGCTTGAAAACTCCAGGAAAAAAAGTCTCAACGAGAATTCCACTCAATACTTCATTAACTCTTCGTTAATTTAGATTAAATTTAAAAAATAAATAAATTAGACGATATTTATATTCATTTCTGTGGATTACAGTCGGATAGTGTCAAAGAACCATCCGCATTCGGGCCAATTCCAATGCCAATTCCGAGTTATTGAAGATTAAAAACAGATCTCGTTATTGAGTCCTCTCCCTTCACATCAATTCTTCCTCTATCATAAATATCCAATTATCTCCTAAACGAATGGTTTTAAGAGAAAATATCATAAAACATGTTTTGCGTAGAATTAAATTTCCGACAAAAAATATCATGTGACATTTTCTCGTAGGACCAATCGTTGTGGCTTGAAAACTCCAGGAAAAAAAGTCTCAAAGAGAATTCCACTCAATTCTTTATTAATTCTTAGTTAACTTGAATTTAAATTTTAAAAAATCATGAATTGTGTGTTATTTACATTTATTTGTATGGATTACAGTTGGATAGGTTCAAAGAGCCCCCAGCCTTCGGCCCAATGTGTGATCTCCTCTGGTCAGATCCTCTCGAGGACTTTGGAAACGAAAAGAATGCCGAGCATTTTTCTCACAACAGTGTCAGAGGCTGTTCGTACTTCTACAGGTGAATAAATTTCAAAATAACGATTATAACACTACTGGGGTAGGGGAATTATTCGAATGTATTAGAAGTAATTAACCACAAGCTCCTTATATTCGCCTGATGGTGCTAGGCATCTAGGCATCTCATGTGTTCTATAACGCACGCGAGGTCAATCTAGTTGGGGGTAAAGTTGCACCAGCACGATAGTTGGAGTGGAATAATTTTACTCTGAAGGTGATAAGGTGCTTTCAGATTGTTCAATCGTTGGAAAATTATAATGCCCACAGACGAAACGCTATCGTCATCCTCTCTATTCTGTACGTTTTTTTTTTCTCCTTTCGTTTCGTGCGACATGACTAATTAACTGTTCATTTTCCACTTGATGGAGTGTGACAGAAGGTCAAAGAGAATTCTGTAACTCATACTGCTGCGCATCTGGGGGAATAATGTCGCTGAATGTATCTTGTTTTTCTTTTGTGGATAATTTTTAGCTATGCAGCGTGTTGTGACTTTCTACAAAACAACAGTCTCTTGAGCATTATTAGGGCACATGAGGCACAAGATGCTGGATATCGTATGTATCGTAAGTCTCAGACGACGGGCTTCCCATCGCTTATCACCATCTTCAGTGCACCCAACTACCTCGATGTGTACAATAATAAGGTGGGATTTTATTTATTTACGATTTTTTTGACTGAGTTGGAACTTTTTCAAACAAAATAAAATTGCAAAAGCTATTTATTATTTTATTGTGCAACTATTTTAATTGATATTAAATAGAAAGGCTCATTTTTTATGAGGAAAAGAGAGTTGAGGATATCCAAGTGTCTTACAGTTTGGTACAGACCGCACGATAAATTCAATTATTTTCAGTCATTAAATTTGTCAATTAAATTGCGTGAGAAAAATTTGAAATAAATCGTGAATATTCAGCGCTATTCAAATTACATTTGGTATCGAATTATTATTTTTTTAACATTTGTTGTTTATAGACAAATAATTAAAATGGTTTAAACTCTCGGAAACCTTATTTTTTTAGGCATAAAATCGATTTCTGGTGAAATTCTGAATATGAATCAATTTTTTATGATTATGAGCAAATGATTTTCATGATGGAAAATTAATTGCTTATAAATTATTTATAGAAAATACACGTAATGTTAAGAGATTGCAATTTTTTAATCATTTCATCAATCTTTAAATAATAAAATGATTGTAAAATGTCTGAAAACTTAGGGTCGAATGGAGCTCAAACGAAAGTTTTGATGTTCGTCTACAAAAGTAGAAAAACATTTCTCTGGAGAAAAAAATAGCCGAAGTACTTGGATATCCTCAAATTAAATTCCTCCATCTTTTAGAGATAATTTGTGCGTATTTAACGTTTTAAATACAATTCTATTCGTCATATTTAACGAATTTTTGATTTTTTAATTTAAAAAAAGACTTCATTTGTCATGTGACTTTAAATTAAAGGAAATTAAAAATTTAGTTGTCCCGCTCAGAGGCAAATATTCATAAGAAAAAAATTTCCAATTCCCACCTGAATTGATAACTCTCGTCATAATCATGGAGAAATGACGAGAATCAATTCTCTCATGGAGAAATACATTCCCCCCTTCATAATTCACATTATTGTCAGGCGGCCGTGCTCAAGTATGAGAACAACGTGATGAACATCAGACAATTCAACTGCTCACCACATCCCTACTGGCTGCCCAACTTCATGGATGTATTCACGTGGTCCTTGCCATTCGTCGGTGAAAAGGGTACGCCCAGAACTGTTTTCATGAAAAAACAAGTGGACAATTGCATTTTTTATAAATGAGTATAGTTATTGTTGGGCTCAAATGGGCTCTCTCTTTTTAATTTCTATTCCGCTATTCTTTTCCTCTATTTTTCATGCCATAGTACTACTATCAATTCAAATGTCATCAAAATTTTGCGTATTATTTCGTTCTGTCAAATAATTCTACATTCAGACCCTCTCAAGACTCGAATTCGTTTTCAGTCCGGGTTTAATCGAGGTTCAGTCAAAGTTTAATCAGTGTATAGCCGGGATTTAATCAGGGTTTATTCAGGATTTAGACAGAGTTTAACCCAGGTTCTGTCAGAAGTTAGTCGGGAGCATGAATCAATATGAATAAGTATTCAACATAATAGACTGGTACCTGAGTTTAATAGAGACAGATATTTTTATATAAAAAACTCATGACGGTATTGTGTAACTTGATAAGCAATGATGCTGTTCTCACCATTTTTCAACTTGATTAAGAAGCCACTGAAATATACTTTTCAAGCCCTGATTTAATTGCTATTACTGATGATTCTTTCAGTAATCATGAAAAAACCGATTTTCTCTTTCAAATCGCATAAACAATGTGCTGTAACTCAACAACTAATTGCGCGACTCTCATCATATTCTGATAGAATCAAGAGGTTATTGTTATCAAGTTTTTGAGCCCTGACTAATTCCATTTTTATGACAATTGTTTGAGTGATCGTTGAAAAATCGGTTTTTGGAAAATAACAATTTTTTCGAATCTGTATGAAAAATTGAATTCCAATTGGGGTCGATGAATAGAGCTGATTAAAGTCTATGGTCATGAAAAAATTCGTGAAGTTCGATTGATCCCTTATAAAAAAAATCGTTTTTTCGGACTTTTTAGATCTGATTTAGTTGCCCTAACACAAAAAATTGGAAACTTAAATCTTTGCGATTTTTTCTCTAATTATTTTGTTCTTTCCTGCAGTCACGGAGATGCTGGTCAATGTACTCAACATTTGCTCGGACGACGAGCTCATGAGCGACGGAGACGACGCCCTCGAGGAAGGTAAGACAATACTTCTCATTCCATTTGACAATTTTCCCTCACTATTGACAATTGCCCCTTTTTTGTGGATTTTAATACTCAATTTCTCGTCGCGCAACAATAGTATCGGGGAGAACAGCAATTGCACATTCATCAGATGGGCAATTGGGTGAATGCATACGTGGGAATCTGTGCGTGTGTATCTGTTCAAATTGCGGAAATTCCACTGGACCGTTTAAATGCCATTCAATTTTACCACGAGAACCTCATCGACTAATTCTTTCAGTTGAGATTTTCATGGGTTCATTGAAATACCAATTTCATTCGGCGTTATTGAAAAATGCTCATACACTGGTGGAGAGATAATTAAAATTTTATGGAAAGTGAGTAATAGTTTTCAGGAGAGTGACATTAACTCCGATTTAGGGGGCGAGTAATCATGAAATTTCACACTTTTGAGCAGCAAAAAGACAAGAAGTGAAAACTAAAAATTATATTTACCCAAATCTTCCAGATTTTTATGGAATAATTCAGTAGCGAAGTGGTAAACCGGTTGAAGTCAATTTTGACTATTGGCTATATTTCAATAAATATCTCAGAATCTAAGGGAGATAGCAAAATTTTTGTTATAACCTTTTTCATAGAGCCAATTGAGAGCTACAACAAATGTGATTACAAAAATTTCGCTATCTCCCTTAGATTCGGAAATATTCCTCAAAAACTCAATTGGGAGATAAGTGGACTTCAACCGTTTTACCACTTCGCCACTGAATTAAACTGAAATTTACACTTTCCACAGATTTTTCCATAAAATTTTGAATCCAAAATCCCGCAACTGCAACGGAATAAAAATTTCCAAAAAATTTACCTGAAATTCAGCCAAAAAATTTCACCAGTGTACGTTTCATCTCAAATTTCTCAGCATTCAAACAGCCGTAAAGCGGAATTTCCACGATTAACCGTTAAAATCGCCCCACCAAATCAATTACAATCCCCTTCTCCCAAAGATTCCCCCAAAATTCTAAACATATGGAATTTCTCTGTTTTCATATTAATCCGCTGACACGGACAGATGGTAAGAGAACCTCATTCATTAACAAAAAGGAAGATAAATCGTCCTACGTATTACCAATCGCTTCTTATTTTATCATTCTCAAATCAGCTATAAGAGCAATCGTATCGATACGATTTCCCTCTCATCACAATTTATCTCAATCTCCTATATATCCATATCTGTACATATCACCTAGATCATCGGTTTTATCGCTCACGTACATGTATATTTTTCATAACTTTTTCTCGTTATGTGTATCGCTCTGTATATTTACCATCATTGTCTGCAGTCTCTTCACTCTCTTTTTTGATTACTCTTCATATTTCTATCACGAGTTGTTTATTCTGCTTCGTCAGAGCAAGCATTAATCCCCCTCCCCTCCTCCATCCCTCTCCCCCTTTCTCCACCCCTTGGATAATGAACTTCATTTGTTTATTTAGTTTTCACTCGACTTTTATTGCCATCACTTTGCACATTTAATTCGATTCTACTGGATGATAGACACGTAGGAATATCAATTTGTTCGTTTTTGCGATATCATAGTTTGGTATTATTTTTTCTGTATTTCTGTATTTTTTCTTTCGACTGTTCCCTTCGTCCAACGAAATACCTTATACCTCTAATAGCGGTGGAAGACGAGTAATTGTGTGATCTTCAATAGCTTTTTCCCATTATCGAACATTTTGTCGTTGGTTTTTTCTTTTTTTTAGTTTTCTCATGGAATTCTGTGATCAAGTGGTCTTATATTTTGGTTTCCCTCGACTTACGAAAGACTTCACAAGCAGTGTGGTTGAATCGCTCTGTGTCCCATCTATTCTCATCATCGGCTGTAACCACATTATTCAAAGCCAGTCATTTTTGTTGTTCTTTTCATCATCTCGATGATGTTCCTGTATTTAGTGTCAACCGTAGCTTACCTCGGTGCATTCAGCTCATTCTTCCTTCTCCGGAAATATGATTTACTCATTTACATTCGCTTATTTAAACCTATGAAGTTCTCCAGTTTCAGATTATCGTACTACTATTTCACAATGCTTCATTATTAAATTGTTTTGGTGGTAATGAACACCTATGGAGAACTTTAGAACGAGTTTAACAGAGTATCCGTTCTATTAATTTTGTTAACATCGTTTTTACGTACGAGAAATGCCCCAGAAACCAAAAACTTTATTAAACTCTCTCTCAATAAACAGTTTATTTTCACATAAAATCCTGTGACCAAGTGGTCTTATACTTTTGGTTTCCCTCGACTTACGAAAGACTTCACAAGCAGTGTGGTTGAATCGCTCTGTGTCCCATCTATTCTCATCATCGGCTGTAACCACATTATTCAAAGCCAGTCATTTTTGTTGTTCTTTTCATCATCTCGATGATGTTCCTGTATTTAGTGTCAACCGTAGCTTACCTCGGTGCATTCAGCTCATTCTTCCTTCTCCGGAAATATGATTTACTCATTTACATTCGCTTATTTAAACCTATGAAGTTCTCCAGTTTCAGATTATCGTACTACTATTTCACAATGCTTCATTATTAAATTGTTTTGGTGGTAATGAACACCTATGGAGAACTTTAGAACGAGTTTAACAGAGTATCCGTTCTATTAATTTTGTTACCATTGTTTTTACGTACGAGAAATGCCCCAGAAACCAAAAACTTTATGTAACTCTCTCTCAATAAACAGTTTATTTTCACATAAAATCCTGTGACCAAGGGGTCTTATACTTTTGGTTTCCCTCGACTTACGAAAGACTTCACAAGCAGTGTGGTTGAATCGCTCTGTGTCCCATCTATTCTCATCATCGGCTGTAACCACATTATTCAAAGCCAGTCATTTTTGTTGTTCTTTTCATCATCTCGATGATGTTCCTGTATTTAGTGTCAACCGTAGCTTATCTCGGTGCATTCAGCTCATTCTTCCTTCTCCGGAAATATGATTTACTCATTTACATTCGCTTGATTAAACCTATGAAGTTCTCCAGTTTCAGATTATCGTACTACGATTTCACAATGCTTCATTATTAAATTGTTTTGGTAGTAATGAACACCTATGGAGAACTTTAGAACGAGTTTAACAGAGTATCCGTTCTATTAATTTTGTTAACATCGTTTTTACGTCCGAAAAATGCCCCAGAAACCAAAAAACTTTATTTCTCTCTCCCCCTCTCCCTCCAATAGTGACTTCTATTTATTTATTTATTCACACAAATACCCCGAAAAAAAATTGCACTGACTATCTTTTATCGTACTCCTTCTCTATTATATTTGTGTCAATCACACTGGCCTTGGACTCCTCCTATATCGGCACGACACTATGCTACTACTACCTTCTACTGTTTCTACTACTACCACTCAATACTCCGTTGATACGGCCAAACTCCAACCCCATTAAGTCGCAGCCAAAGTCGTTGTACAAAAAAAAAATGGTAAGTCCGGCCTGAAGACTTACAATTTGATGCAAATTAACGCAAAAAAACCAACAAAACGTGAAGATAATATCTACGGAATTGATTTGTTGCAATTGAGAGATCGATTTTTTTGGATTTTCATTAAAACAAAGTGGAGATATCAAAGTTTATTAATTCATTAACCCGACGACGCGTTTGAGGACTAGCATAAACCGTGTGATTACGTTCTGTGGGAAAGTGGCTGTCGCATTATTTAATCATTAATCTTCTCGATGAAACTATCTGAATATTTTTTTACGCTTTTTTCATTGATTTTTACAGTTTTAACAACTTTTAATCCTTTTTTTATTGATTTATTTTCTGTTTTTATCCATCGAAAATATGATTTGTGGAGTAATTAAGTGTTTGGGTGAGTAATTTCTTTTTCAAAATAATGCAAACAGCCGGAATTTCCGCGAATGTTCGACACGATTTAGAGTCGTCTCCTGTTTTTTCTCTCTGTTCCGCAATTAATTAAAGTCAAGAGACACCATTGACGTTGATCTTTTATTTTTCTCTTAAAAAATGTTTTTTCTCGTCGTCTTTATCGTACTAGGCACATTGTGCCCACAACAGCTGCACGCGTACATGGCTCACACGCTCGCCAAAACGTCTTATCCTTCCTATTTCCACTCGACACAAACACTATTTTTCATCGTTTTTATTTACACCTCAATTTAATACCGAGTTTGACTGATTTTATCGACTAATAGATTTATGAGGAGTTGATTTGATATTCTCTAACCCGTTTTCTTTTTATTTCAAATTCAAAATGCCTCGAAATGAGTTAATATGATCAATTCAATCCCGAAATCCCTAGGTTTAACCCCTCGACCCTTCACATCCTCTCAAAAGATGAAACGAAAGGTAATTCAATTTAGAAATCTTTTTTTTTTTTCATTGTGACTGTTATCCTTTTTATTTTCACTGGAGTTTGACTAATTTTATCGACTAATAGACTTATGAAGAGTTGATTTAACATTCTCCAACCCCTTTTCCTTTTATTTCAAATTGAAAATGCCTCGAAGGTGTTGATCAACCCGTTCGACACGCGTCCATCATAAAAGAAGCTAAACCTTCTCCCTTCAAGTGCCATTACCCCGTTCCGATTCCTTGACCCCAGTGGACAGTCTCCAAACCCTTCAATATCATCTTGAAAAACTTTTCCCAACAGTGGGAGAATCCATGTGTACCCAATGTGCACTCAAAGGCGAGTAACTCTCTCTCGAAAAGTGAGTGAAAAAAGAGGGAAATTAGTTCACCTGATCGATTGAATCCCAAAATCCCTCAACAGATGAAACGAAAGTTAATTCAATTTAGAAATCTTTTTTTTTCATTGTGACTGTTATCCTTTTTATTTTCACTGGAGTTTGACTAATTTTATCGACTAATAGACTTATGAAGAGTTGATTTAACATTCTCCAACCCCTTTTCCTTTTATTTCAAATTGAAAATGCCTCGAAGGTGTTGATCAACCCGTTCGACACGCGTCCATCATAAAAGAAGCTAGACCTTCTCCCTTCAAGTGCCATTACCCCTTTCCGATTCCTTGACCCCAGTGGGCAGTCTCCAAACCCTTCAATATCATCTTGAAAATCTTTTCCCAACAGTGGGAGAATCCATGTGTACCCAATGTGCACTCAAAGACGAGTAACTCTCTCTCGAAAAGTGAGTGAAAAAAGAGGAAAATGAGTTCACCTGATCGATTGAATCCTGAAAACCCCCCAGGTTTCGCCCCTCAACCCTTCAAAAGATAAGACGAAAACTCCAATACTGTGGCATCGATCAACCGTATACCCCTTTAAATCCCGGGATTCCCCCTTCATCTCTCTATATCTCACTTGCCCATTCTCCTTATACGACGAGCGAATCGTCTGCGTCACTTCCACTCCACATACCTCACTTAGCTCTACTTTGCCCGAGTGCTCGGGATACAATCCTACGTACGCGTCCTTTGGGAGTAGAAACGTATGCTCCCTATTCCCATTCCTATTTTCCTCTCTCAATTTTTTGATATTCTGATATTTTTCCCCCTCGATTGCCTTGAAATCAATCGGAGAAATTTTTTCTGGTGCTCATAATTCGAGTCGCTTGTGCTGACTCTTGAGTGCATGGAAGGTATTCAGTGGGAATCGGGCCGGGACACCATTAAAATATTTAACTCTAAATCCTCGGAATGTTGAAGAAACTCACGAGCGAATAATTTTTTTTTCCATGTCAAATGGATTTTATCGATTGGTAATTTCTAGAGTTCTAGAATTGTTTTGGTTTGCATTTTTTATTTTTACTAGGGGGCTACGCCCCCTGCTCGCCCCGCTTGCCAACCTCCATGATCCTTATTCTGACCCTCGTGACCTTCATTGTACCCCTTGTGACCCTTATTTTGACCCTTCATTTCTGAACCTTAATTTTGGGGTCTTAATTTCGAGCCCCAAATTTTCATCACCAAAAGTCGATTTGGATTTCTACTGTATAAAAAGATATTGAGATCCTTATTTTGATCCTTGTGGCCCTGAGTTTCTGACCCCCATGACCCTTATTTGGACCCTCAATCTGACCTTTATAATCCTTAATCTAACCCTTATGACCCTCAGTTGGATCCTTTATCGGATCCTCATTATAACTCTCGTGCCCTTATTTTGACCCTTGATTTTTGACCTCCATGTCCCTTACTTGGACTCTTACGACCCTTGTGATCCTTAATCTGACCCACATAAGCCTTAATCTGACCCTTTTGACCTTTATTTGGACCATCAATTTGACTTTAATCTAACCCTCGTGAGCTTTAATCTTGTGACCCTTCACCTGACCCTTGTGACCTTTATTTGGACCCTTAATTTACCCTTAATCTATCCGTCGTGACCCTTATTCTAACCCTTGTAAGCCTTGTGACCCTTGTAAGCCTTATCCTGACGCTCATAACCCTGGTTCTGACCCTTGTGGCCCTTATTCTGATTTATTGTGGACCTTATTAAGGGTCACCAGGGTTAGCCCTTGCGACCCTTATTTGAATCCTTAATCTGACCCTCATTACAACCCTCGTGACCTTTATTTTGACCCTTAGTTTCTGACCCTTGTGACCTTTATTTGGGCCCTTAATCGAACCCTCGTGACCCTTACTCTAACCCTTGTGACCCTTATTCTGACACTCGTGATACTATTCTGACCCTCACGATCCTTGTGACCCTTCATTTCGGAGTCTTAATTTCGAGTACCAAATTTTTATCACCAGAAGTCTATTTAGATTTTTATAATACAGAGAAATAATTATTCACAGAGTTTTACATGATTTCACATGCTCAATCCACTTGAAAGCACTCTTTGAATGTTGCCACGACTTTTCTTTTCCGTTACTCACTCACCACCCGGAATCTATGTCTCTCAAATACCAAAGTTGTTTGATTTATGAGTTTTTTTCCCTTTGAACATGAGAATAATTCCCACCCACCCTCTAGGAATATACGAGTCACTTTGATTTCGAGAGCCAGTAGTTTTGTCCATTTATTTTTCAGAAGTGAACGCTGAAAAGTCGAAACTTGTCTGTCGTAATTTTATTCTTTTGTTTTTTTCTTCACGAGAAGAAAGTCAAATGGGGAGGTATATGTACATGAAAATTCCTGAGAGCTTTCTGAAACTCCTGATCCTCCGCTGAAAAACTCATCCCTTTATTCTCTATTTTTGTATTCTCCTGTCTCTTCTTAGATATTTATTAATATCCTAATGAAAGTATTTGAGCTTGAAGGTTTCTACTGTCTTCGTGACAACGATGGTGGAATGCTAAATGAGTAGACTATTATCAATAATCGAGTAATGGGTGACTACTGTTTAGAATATATTCAAAAGTACAAGTCCAAATTCAACGCAGCTAGTGAGTCGTTAACATAATTGTAGATTGAAATATTCTCCATTAACTAATGCCATGTTTTTTATACTTCCAGTTTATATGACAGCCATTACTTGTACTGCGCAGGTTTCATTCGTTAAAATGGAGTGATAAAAAATTTAATGCCCAGAATTTGGAGCTTGTAGTTTTCATTCTATTTTATCTTAATGCAAAAATGCAGAGATAACTTTTTTATTAGTATTTTTATGCTGGGTGTACAGAGCTGAACACTATTTCGTGAAAACAACTGGGGAAGTCAATTTTAATTGGTTATTTCAAGTGAATTATTCATTTATTGCTGTTTGGAAAATCCAAGTGATGATAATTTCACACACATTTACGGATTATTCAGTGCATTATGTGGATAATTGCAATTTTTTCAATGAATAAGTCTAGTTATTGCTGCCAATAAATTAGCAATTTGCTTCCGAATGAGTTCTGTTTTTTAAATTCTTACTTCACTATTCTCGTCTTCTATTTTTTCATGTCAGTACTATCGTCAATTGAAATGTCATCAAAATTTTGCGTATTATTTCGTTCTCTCAAATAATTCTACATTCAGACCCTCTCAAGACTCGAATTCGTTTTCAGTCCGGGTTTAATCGAGGTTCAATCAAGGTTTAATCAGTGTATAGCCGGGATTTAATCAGGGTTTATTCAGGATTTAGCCAGAGTTTAACCCAGGTTCTGTCAGAAGTTAGTCGGGAGCATGAATCAATATGAATAAGTATTCAACATAATAGACTGGTACCTGAGTTTAATAGAGATAGAGATTTTTATATAAAAACCTCATGACGGTATTGTGTAACTTGATAAGCAATGATGCTGTTCTCACCATTTTTCAACTTGATTAAGAAGCCATTGAAATATACTTTTCAAGCCCTGATTTAATTGCTATTACTAATGATTCTTTCAGTAATCATGAAAAAACCGATTTTCTCTTTCAAATCGCATAAACAATGTACTGTAACTCAACAAAAAATTGTGCGACTCCCATCATATTCTGATAGAATCAAGAGGGTATTGTTATCAATTTTTTGAACCCTGACTAATTCCATTTTGATGACAATTTTTTGAGTGATCGTTGAAAAACCGTTTTTTGGAAAAATATCAATTTTTTCGAATCTATATGAAAATTTCAATTTCTATTGGCATCAATGAATAGAGTTGACTAAAGTCTATATCCTTGAAAAAATTCATGAATTTCGATTGACCCCTGGCATTCGAAAGCAAAAAAAGCAAGTTGCACACAATTTCTTCATTTATTCTAAAAAATAAAATGGAATTATTCCACAACAACATTTTCAACATTTCGTGAGTTCAAAAACACAAATCACATGAAATACGAAATAGTTGTAAATATCTTCAGCTCTCTGCGTACATAAATGCATATTGAGACTCATCGCACATGCTTGAGAATGCCACTGACAGAGTGCACAACATTTTTTCTGTTCTATGTGTATATTTTCTTTCCACTACACTTCTACTATCGTCGCCTTCTATCAACCTGCGAAAACTACATACCATCACGATAACCACCTATTGACCACCATCACCCTTCAATCAACCAATAAATAAACAACCTCACGAAAAAAAAAAACAAAAAATATATATCCACATGGCTGCATTGACGCTGCTCTCATAATGTTGGTGGTTACTTCTGTCCTTTAACTCACGAATACCTGCCGTTGCCGTTCTGTTGCCGTTCACCATCCGGTTTATCAACCGTATAAACACCTTGGTCCAATGGTAACCCAACGTGGTCCAACCCAAACACGACCCCAATACTGACCGCGTACGGTGAGTTTTTGTGTTGCTTAATTTTTTTTTTCATTTTCATGGAACAAATGTTTAATTTAATTACATCAACGAAATTGAATATGCAGTCACGCACGAAAGAATTTCGTGGGGAAAACCAGGGAATTTTGATGGAAAATTCTATTGGATTTTACTGCACGTTTTTTAATATGAAATGTATAATTGAAACTTTTATACGAATCAGTAGAATTTTATTTTTTTTTATAATTTTTTTCTGTCGAGACATTTTTTGTAGGAATTCCTCGATCTGAATTTTTCAATTTCTTTTCCATTTTATTTATTTTTTCGTTTTCATTAAAAAAATGAGATTATTTGAGCCGAGGAATTTCTGTAGGAAATGCACTATTTGAAGACAATTAGAATTTTTGGACATTTGATTAGTTATTTTCAGAAGAATGACATTTAATTCGATTTAGGGGAAAAACATAACGAAATGTATGATTTCACGAAAAATTAAATGATTAATTGCAAGAGACAAAAAATCCTTAATGCAATAAAATATATTAATAATAGTATTTAATAATGATAACAATTATTATTAAAAAATGAAATTGAATTATTATATAATAATAATTCAATTTTCAATGAAAACATAAATATTTAGAAATTCAAGAATACATTTCCTTAATTTTCTATTCATTTGCAGGAATAATTGGACTGTAATTCACAGTTTCTATTGGTTTTTCCATAAAATCGCAAATTTTCAGTGACAAAAGGCCTTGCAATTTTACTGAAGTCATAATGTGATAAGAATTTTCAACAGCTTGCACATGAATATCGAATTCCATTAATTTTTTCTACAAGATATTCTCCATTGAACATTTCTATTGAAAAAAAAATTAACGAAGACATGTATTTCAAAATTTGATAATAAATTTCCCTGAATGTTCAGTGACCAAATTTCTTCCAATTTCACTGGAATCATAATCTAATAATAATTTCCACCAACTTGTGCATAAATATCGAATCCTATTGATTTGTTCTACAGAACATTTTCCATTGAACATTTCTGTTGAAAAAAAATCAACCAAAAATCGATAGAAATCCAACCGATTTTTCCACCAAATTCGCTAGGTTTTTCTCTGAAATTTGTTCGTACGTCAACGCGAAATGCAGCATTCTGCATCGAATAATGTGGAACGAGGGGAGATAACCCTTTCTCTCTCATTGAAACATTAATGATTTTGAAATGACGAACAAAAGGTCCATGAAAGAGCATTGAATGCTTCTGTTTCCCCAACGTTTCACGTTTTTTCGAATGATTGAAGAATACGAAGATGTGGAGAATAAAACCCATGGAGAAATAGTTATACTTAGCGAATGGATAAATTAATTGCCAATGCAACATGGCTGTATCGAACTCGAAAGACACGTAGTTGAAGCATGATAAAGCAGCACGAATTTATTATAATTCCCTCCGGAGGAAATTGTTCTGTTTTTATTAAATTCTCTTTTCAATTCCTTTTTCGGTGCCAAAGGGATATCGAATTTCAACAAATAGGCGGCAGTTTGGCCCCTGACCCGTTGCCCGTGCGTAGATTGCCCGGTTCTATCGTATATCACCATCCCTCGGGTTTTTTTTTTACAACGACCTCTCGTCGACTATTGTTTCACGTCCCTTTTTTTTTTCTTTCGGGAGATTCGGGGGATCAATCGCAATTGATACTGGTCCTCGTGGACATGCTCACCTTTCTAATAAATGGGTTTTCTCGTGTCCGAAGGAGTGAAATTCGGGGATTAGGTCGATTACTTATGATTTATTTCTGATGTTGAATCGATTGTTTAGTACTGTTATGCGACTGTTGGAAAGAAATTGGAATTTCATGGACTGGGGGAATTATTGCACTGGATTTCACAGGAAGTTCGGTGAAATTACAAATTTTTTAGCTGCAGGAAGACAGGAATTCCCGAATTTACGGGAATTTTTAATTAATTGGAATTTTAATAGTGTGTTCATCTGTTTTTTTTTGCAGTTTCATTAATTCTGATGAAATTATTGAAGTGAAATTTACAGTCTTCATTTTTTTCCAGAAAATTTTAAATTTTTATTGGTAGATAAAAATTGAAATTTCAGGGATAGGTGGGAAAAAATTATGAAATTTCGAATTTCACCAAAAATACTATGAAATTCTAAATTTTTTAGCATTAATTAAAATTTCAACAATTTGTTCATTTGAATTTTTTTACATTTATATTAATTTTGATGGAATAATTCAAATAAAATTTACAGTTTTCATTTTTTTTCCAGGAAATTTTAAATTTTCATTGATAGAAAAAAATTGAAATTTCATGGACAGGTGGGAAAAATATCATGAAATTTCAGATTTTGCGAGAAATTCAATGAAATTCCAAATGTTTTTAGCGGCAGCAAGACAAGAATTCCCAAATTTACTAGAATTTTTAATTAATTAGAATTTCTAAAATATCTTCAGCTGAATTTTTCACATTTATATTAATTTTGATGGAATAATTCAAAGAAAATTTACAGTTTTGATTTTTTTTCCAGAAAATTTTAAATTTTCATTGATAGAAAAAAATTGAAATTTCATGGACAGGTGGGAAAAAAATCATGAAATTTCGGATTTCACCGAAAATTCAATGAAATTACAAACTTTCTACCTGCACGAATATAACAATTCCCAAACGTACTGGAATTTTCATTCAATTAGAATTTCAAAAATATGTTCATCTGAATTTTTTACATTTCTATCAATTCTAATGGAATAATTGACGTGAAATTTACAGTTTCCATTCATTATTCCATAATATTTTTTTATTTTTCACTGAAAAAATTCCTCAAAATTTCAGTAAAAAAATATAAAAATTTCCTCGAAGTGTACCGGAAATTTCAGCCAAAAATTTTCAACAGTACAATAATAATAATAATTAATGTATTATGTGAAATATAATATATGTTAATATATGTGTGTATTAATATATATTATCATTATATCATGTGAAAAATACAGTATATTAATTATTAGTCGTATTATATTCCCCTGAAACGCGAGAGGAAGAAATCCACCTTTTTTTATGCATGCGCATGTTTTGCATTAATAGCATATTTTTATTTCTTTACCACTCGAGTGCAGCTTTCAAAGAATGCACGCACCGTATTATTTTTTTTATTTTATTTTTCGCCGCGATGAAAAAGTTTATATTAAAACCGCTGTTAACTCTAACCCAAGAATGCACAGAATTTTCAATAGTGGAGAGAACAAAAAATGAAACAGAACGGAAAGAGAGCATTGAAATAACGGAGTGGACGTGATGAATTCTGAGCTTAGAAATAGAATTAGTTGATATTATGCAAATTGAGAATTTATTAACCGACAAACGAGTTCAATCAATGATGAATAGTGTGGCCATTGGGATGTGTTTATTCAGCACTCGATGTAAACATTGATTTTCGTTGGATTGATTGACCTCGTACTTCAATGTGTGCTAGTTAATTATTTGTCGAGTGTCGGACAGTTAAAAATGATTTGATGATGACTCGTGCAGGTGCAGCAGCAAACCTTCGGAAGGAAGTTATCAGGAATAAGATACGGGCTATTGGGAAAATGGCTCGAGTGTTCTCTGTACTCAGGTGAGCGTTAAATTAATGTCTTTGGTAATTTCGCGATTATCTCAGGATTGAAACGAGATAGCGAAATTTGCTTCTACACTTTTTTGTGGAGAATTTCAAGAGCTACAGAAAAGCCCTGAACCTAAATTAGTCTATCTCCCATGGATTCTGAGATATTCACAAAAAACTGAACTCTCTGAATTCAATTTTGAATGAATTAATTCCATTTGAACTTCAGTTTTTTTTATTATCTCGAGATTGAAGGCAGATATCGAAACTTTTGTAAGGACCTTTTTCGTAGCAAATTTCGAGAGCTACAAAAAAGGTTCTTACAAAAATATCGCTATCTCCCTTCCATTCCGAGATATACATCGAAATATAATAGTTTTTTACAGAATTAGTTTCATTTTCATGCTATTCTGCATATTAACGTTCTTTTTTAACAAAAAATTCTCCAGGGAAGAGAGTGAGAGTGTCCTGCAGCTCAAGGGCCTCACCCCAACAGGTGCTCTACCCCTGGGAGCCCTCTCAGGTGGCAAGACGTCCCTGAAAAACGGTAAAACCATGCGATAAAAAAATCAACCGATAATATCCCTCATGCCCCAGCAGAATTTCCCCACTACCCTTCTTTTACGATTTTCCAGCACTCCAAGGATTCTCACCAAACCACAAAATCACATCATTCGCTGAGGCTAAGGGTCTTGACGCCATTAACGAGAGAATGCCACCGCGAAAAGACGCACCACCGACTCCAGTAAATGAAGAAAAACCCGTTATAAAAACACCCACGTCAACTACGTCTGAGAAACGGGAACATTGTGCCCCAGCGCCCCATTCGTGAGTCTCATAAGGATCCAATATCGAGGTAAACGCATTTTTGCCCCTTCAATAAACCCCTCGACGAAAAAATAAACTAAATTTTTCATTTCCACAGGTGACAATTGGCGAGGGATAATGATCCAGTAAAAGTCGCCAAATTCACAATACAAACATTGATCGTCTCCCCACTTCCCCCCCTCCCCTGGAATTAGAAATAGTTCATTGGGCCGAAAGGATAATTAATCGAAGGAAAAATCGTAAAATGAGAAAAAAAATGCACGAGGATAATTGACAAGAGCAATCGTTCTCGAGAAAAAAAAAACGAGGAGAGCCCAACGTCAGTATGAGTATGAATAATCGAGTATTGCAGATGGGTGATGCGAAAAAAAAAGAATAATAAAGAATAAAGGATACATTCGGGGCATGCGCGTGTGATCCAAGCAAGAGAGAACAACGCCCACGTTGAACAATTATGAGTAAAACCCAGCCAGCGCATTAAAAATATTAACAAAAATGAGGGGAAGATACTAACTGAATGGTTAATTTCAATGAATTATCAAATGAAAGCAATTACTCCCGTATGATTAAACAAAATGATTAAAAATGCCAATGATAGATGAGAGAATACGAGTGTGGGAGGCACTACCGTCTACTTGCAGCTGGTCTGCCACGACGTACGGTGAATGTTTTTTTCTTTGTTTTTCTCTTCTTTTGTTTGATTTACAAATGCTTAAAAATAAAATGAAAAATGATGGTGAAGAAATGTGCAAGGAGAGTAAACTATTTAATACTAATTAATTAACACATTTTCACTCACATATTGCGAACACTCCTGAGAAAATTAATCGTGCACCCTATGGTGGGTTTATTACCGTATTAATATAACATCCAAATTTTCACGTATATTAAAGGATTAAATAATGGAATGAATTTTAAATTTTTGAGATATAGAATTGGGGGGGTTATCACTCGGCGTCGTTTGGAGCTCGGGATGTTGATTAGTTTTTTTTTCTGTCTGTTGATTATTGATTTTAATTTGGAGATTGTTGAGGACGTGAATAAGCTCTCTCATCAGTATTTCTTCACGATTGATTGTTAAATTTATTCTGGGATGTTTTGTGGTTTTATCTTGCCAGGTGGATAGTTCTCATTCATAATACATTTTTTTCTTCAACAATATTTCGTCAATTCCTCTGAGATCTAGTCAATCTAGTCCGTGCAATTCCTCAACTTACGCATGCATACAAACCCTCGTGCAATGAACGATCTGAATCTCAGGTTCTCTTTTAATTCCTTAAATACATTTAAAAGTAATCGTTATGGATAATTGTTATGTTACTTCGGTTATTGTTTCCTGTGAGTTTTTTTTTAAAGCCTCGAGCCTCCAGACGGCGTGCAGCGATAGTGTTTGTAGGATACATAAACTTGAATCTCGCAATTAAGATGGAAATTACAAGAGTGTGAATGAAGGGTGAGAATTATAAATTATCTAATTATTAATGATGAGCCATGACACCTTTGGTCTTGAATTAATGAAAAATATAATAATGGGTGTGTGGACCCTGTTTTCGTTCACTGGAGATGAAGTAAATTCCCTTAATCGCACGTTTAATCAGGAATACAAGTAAATTTCGTTCATTTTCTTACGAAAGAATCTCTCAAGCCATGTTATAATAAAATTAAGAAAATGAAAGTTTCGGGGAGTTTATGATGAGAGATTGGTGGGGGACCGAGAAACAAATAAAATGGTTAAACAAGAGAATATATTACCACGAGAAAAAAACTAATAAATATGAAGATGAAAGCAGAAAAAAAATTAAATGATAAAAAAAAACATAATAGCGTTGAATCTTTTATGATTTTTAATGTGTGTTCTTGCTATTGAGGATAAGAAATTAATGGGGCTCTCGAGCCCCTGAAAAAGATGATTAAAATAAAATAAAGTAAATATATTTAAAAACAAACTCTCTCCCTCCCTGGGTGTCGCTCGTACCTTTATATGCACCGAATGTGGATCATTTGCCGATTAAATATTCATGTGAAAGTTGAGGGACGAGTTATTTTGAGACTCTCAAGCACAAAATGTGGTAAAAAAATATCGTTAATTATTCATTGAGCAGTAATTTTAGTCGTAATTGTCAATCCCACTCTCACCATTTTTCTCCCTTCGAATGATTTCTCCCAGAGTGGTGCTTCCGTCGTTTGGAGGCCAGGGCAAAATTAATAATTCATTATCAGTGTTAATTAATCACGATTATTGAGTAAAAATAAATGAAAATTTAATGTAAAATGGCAAAGATCCCTTTCGCGTCGTTGAGCGACACTGATTTTACGATTAAATGAAGAATAAAACACTGTACCGAGGAATAAAGTGGAAAATAAGCAGAAAAAAAGCGAATAAGAGAATTAAATGAAAAAAAAAAAAAAGAATATCTTTCACTCTGTCTCTTCACTATGATAATTATATAATGAATAATAATGAATAATTCTATCTCTCTTTGCTACCAAGTTGTACTTATTCTTAATTGATTTACTTGTACAAAAACAAAAAAAATTAAGAACATGTGTTAAATAATAAAACAAAATACATAATATAATATAAACAAAAATGATATCATTAATATTCATTAATATCTCTATCGAAAAATAATAATAAATGACAAGCAGGAGGAATGAAATAGTTGACGAATGAATTTATGAGTTGATAAATTCAATTTACGCTGAATCAATTTAATAACGTATATTGCAAAGTCATGTGATTGTATTTATCATGCAAATTAGGTCAAAATAATTCTGAATTACGATTGGAGAATCAAATTTTGATGGAAAATAACGTTTGAGAGAGAATTTATGGTAAACTTTCTGACTCACTTCCTTGTTTTTTTTTTTCGTCTGTAAATTTAAAACTTCATGAACCTTTTAATAAATAAATAATTAAAATGATAATGAAAATGAAGGTGTACAATGGACGATTGAAATTATCTCTTGAATGCATGTGTGAGTGAGTGAGACCTCTATTTATTTATGAAGAATTGTAATCGTTGGATTAACGTTCTTCTTGATCGTATAATTCTTTTGATAAATACGCGACTGCGAGTGGATGCTTCGTGCATGAATCCTACTTCACTATTTTCATTTGTTCCCCTCTTCGTCATTTCATGCGGAATTTTAACTGAAATTTTAATAAACGCGGTTTTATAGTCAGAAATTCATCTTCTGCATGAAATTTTAGTGAATCTCTTTGCATTTTATACGTCCAATCGAGGTGAAATTCACCGACGATTTGTTTTATTTTTCATCGGGCTATTTATTTTCAACAATTCGTCACGTTTCACCTCATTCCCCTCAATTCTCCCCCATTAAAACTAGCAGAAATTGGCATTATTCTAAAGAAAACGCATAACAAATTTTCATAGTGTCTCTTCGTCAGCAATACGAAACGACAATTTTAAAAATCATGAAATTGTACATACACGTGCGTTTGCTATTACTAGAACTGTTACTAACTCTAAGATCTTTGACTATTCATTTTTTTAATCGAGGCTGACAATTTCGAGGGAAGATAACGAAAGAAAAGTATTTTAGTGACAAAAATGAGAGATTAAAATCATCGATTGAGCTGAAGAAAAAAAAGCATGAGTCTATAAATAACAGTTTGTTTATTTACATGTACAGATGTACCACATGTATCGCATACGACCCAGTACATGTGAATAACGATGATTAATACTGTAATGAAAATAAAACAATTGTCATCATCATCATTACTACAATTGACCATTAATCGGGTAGGGGTATTCGAGGAGTTGATTATTCGAGTGGAAATGATCAAGTAAATAATGCAGTCTTACTCATACATTTATTCAATATGAAAATTACAACGCGATGATGCATACATTATCAATATCGTATGGTATCTTATTATTCTCTTAATATTATTACTATTTAAAATAATGAAAAAAATGAGATGAAAAACGACACTCCCTATTGCCCGTTTGTTGTGAATGTTTACGTTGTTTAATGATACTCAAATGATTCTAAAAATAAAATCTATGATTTCCACCAATTGAGTTGATGGTTATTGCCATTTTCACCTTTTGTTGGATTTTTTTAACATTAAAAGACATTATTAATGATTTTTTTTAGTAAAATAGTCTCGCGATGAGTTGACGATTAGTTTAACGTTTTTTTTCTGTTTTTTGGCGGAAATGTGGGTCAAATTAATTAAATAGTCATTAATGATGGGGTTGTTAATTAAGTTGACGGTCAACATTAAGTTCTTTGTGGTTTTGGGATTTATTTCGCTGTACTGAAAATGCTAGAAAAGAATAAAATACAAAAAAAATGATAAAATTGAAAAAAAGAACAAAGTTGAAGTTAAATAATTATTAATAATGGGATGATTAATTAGTATTTCGGAAATCATGACGTTTTTCAGGTTTTATTGGAATTTTTTTAGCATTAAAATGCATTATTAACGATTTTTTTTATTAAAATGGTCTCGAATGGTGAGTTGACGATTAGTTTAACGTTTTTTTCTGTTTTTGGGGGGAAATGTGGGTAAAATTAATTAAATAATTATTAATGATGGGGTTATTAATTCAGTTGAACGTCAACAATAAGTTCTTCATGATTTCAGGATTGATTTTGTTGTATTAAAAGCGCAAGAAAAAGAAAATAAAATTGAAAAAAATTAAAGTTGAATTAATTTTCTGGGCAGAATCTTCGCCGTTTGGTCTCGGTATTTTAGCGAAAAATAAGAGTAAAATGAATTAAATAATCATCAATAATGAGATGATTAATTAGTATTGAGGGCCAGAAATCATTTTCTCATGATTTTGGGATTTATTTTGCTGAAATTTCGTTTGCCAAAAAATCTCTAGCCCTTGCGCATCACCTCTGCGCACATTCAAAATGGCGATCGAGCTGTGGTGGTAAACAGGACGTTGGCGTGTGCTCTCGGTATTTTCGGCGAAAATAAGGGTAAAATCAATTGAATAATTATTAATTATGGGATGATCAATTAATTTTGAGGGCCAGCAATCATCTTCTCATAATTTTGGGATTTATTTTGCTGAATTAAAAGCGCTAGAGCACTATAAAAATTTCGTTTGCCAAAAAATCTCTAGCCCTTGCGCATCACCTCTGCGCACATTCAAAATGGCGATCGAGCTGTGGTGGTAAACAGGACGTTGGCGTGTGCTCTCGGTATTTTCGGAGAAAATAAGGGTAAAATCAATTAAATAATTATTAATTATGGGATGATCAATTAATTTTGAGGGCCAGCAATCATTTTCTCATGATTTTGGGATTTATTTTGCTGAATTAAAAGCGGTAGAGCACTATAAAAATTTCGTATGCCAAAAAATCTCTAGCCCTTGCGCATTACCTCTGCGCACATTCAAAATGGCGATCGAGCTGTGGTGGTAAACAGGACTTTGGCGTTTGCTCTCGGTATTTTCGGCGAAAATAAGGGTAAAATCGATTGAATAATTATTTATAACTGAATGATCAATTAATATTGAGGGTCAGTAATGACTTGATGATGAATTTGAGGCTGATTCTGGTGTCTTACAAGCGCTAGAACGATATAAAAACTTTATTTACACGAAAGATGTCGAGTCCTCTGCGCATATCTACAATGGCAACCGGCTGGCGCGCTCACCGACTGATTTGGTTTTATTTTCCACTATTTTCGAGAAAAATAAGGATGAAATGGACATAATAATCATTCCTGATGAGATAATTAATTAAAAATGCTGGACTGAAAGATTTTTATGGTGAAATTGAGAGCTATTCCAGTGTATTATCAGTGCTGGAGGGACATGAATGTTAGTAAAAGTAAAATCTGAATTCTCTGTGTGACCGACTTTTTTGTGACGACACAAGATGGAGCCTGACGTGTGACTTTGGACAATGGAAGGACATTTTATCCGTTTTGTCGTATTAATTGACTTTTTAATTGGTTGAAAATGTGGTTGGGAAGTGAAGTGCGTGGAAATAGGAGACATGAAGCGTTTTATTTGTGATATCTTGAATGGGAGAAGTGCCCGTATGATGCTGCTTCCTGGTGAACGATTGGGGAAGTCCAGTGAGCGATTAGGAGTGATTTTATCGACCGTGAGTCATGAAAAATTTAAATAATTTGAGTTTAATCGTAAAATCGTGAGTTAGTTGTGGATTTTAACGTTTTGGGAATAGAAAAAATGTATTATCCTTGTTTCGTATCGAGTAGAGGGGTAGATCAGTTTTTTTTTTTATTGAAAATTTTTTTAAATGGCTGTCGACAAGTGCTCAATGTTTGTAAACAATGGATTCAGTCGTGGGATAATTGCAAGTGCATTGTTAGTGTTAGTGTCAAGTGAAAGTGACCGGGAAGGAGTGGATGCGGTTCTTCTTCAACATCATCTCCATCGTCAACATCATCGTCATCTGGAAGGCGACTGGTGAGTGTTAAAAAATTTATTTGACTAACACCAGAGTTTTTAGTGTTTTTCATTATGTCCTTTTCTTGTCAGATTTGATATTGCTTTTTTCAATTAATTGTTTAATTGTTTATAATCATTCTCATTGCAAAAAGCAATACGACTGAGGAGAATCGTATATAGCCCCTCTTAGGGGAGGGTGGGGTAAAATGACACTTTAGACTTTTTTTAAATTATTCATAACTCAGAAGCAAATTTACCCATTGAGCTCAGTTCAGGCTCACCACAAAGGGAAAGAATTGTTCTTTACATTGAAAAAAAAATTATGAAATTTTCTTAGGAGGAACACATGAGACAATTTTTTTTATGTAAGAGGGGCTATATGAAGGGGGAGGGGTATATAGTCTCTCTTATTTTTTAAAACAGATAATTTAATCGAAAATTTTGGCGTTCTCTGTCTCAAAAACTTATGAAAAAAAGACGGGGGTATCATTGATGGCCGTTAATCAATTGGATAATCATCGAAATTAAAAAATAGTAAAACAATTGATCATCTAAATTTGCGATTGAAGATGAATTAAATAATTGATAATATGGAATTGGCAATCTATTGAGTAAATAACACTAAATTTCATAAAAGGATTTTCGATTACCCAAATAATCCTCAATAAAATAATTAGGAATTTAAATATTTAATTGATGATTAATTTAGTAATTAAAAATTGCAGAGTAATATTAAGGAATTGACTAGTTTAAAATTCAACGGCAATTCGAATTTATGATTATGGCCATCTCTGCTGGGTATCAAATGAGAAACAACAATTTCCACACAAATAAATATTTATTCTTCCGGAAGGAAACATTGAAATCTGCAAAATATATAAACACACCATCAAACACACACACTGACAAACGATATAATGGACAGACACTGCAATCCCACACTTTACAAATCAGAATATGATAGTGATAAAACTCTTAAAAANTTTAATAATCTGCTAAATCATCTTCCAAGGGTGGAAACTCGGTCGAGCGTGAGAACCACTGCTTTCCTATTTTCGGCAAACGAATTTTCGGCTAGCTTCCACTCCATTTAAAAATACTCTATTTTTTTTCATTTTTTATAAATTAAATTACTTCACATAAGTCCTTATATTCGATGACTAAACGCAGATTAATAGTTACGATAAACTATTCCTTACGGTAACTTACGACTAATAACTAGAGTACCCACAGACTGAGATCAATTGCCCTACTTCGTGCACACTTAAATTCCTCTATTCTTAGAATACAGATTCAAAAATCCTGATGATACAAAGCTATTCAATTTTCGTTGGTTTAGACGAGTTCACATGCACTTTTCGGGTTTGTGTCTGCGGATTTCATGACTAGATTTCACTCTTAATAAATAAACTTATATACTTCATATAAATATCCTTAGATTACGATAAATTATCTACGTTATCTCCTCTACGGTTCCTATTCCAATGTCTTCTTTATTCCCCGATGAAACTATTGTTCACTGTTAGAAATTTTTTGAAATTTGAGTAACAGATGCATTTGAATTTTCAATATTTTGAACTTGAATTCAAAACATTTAAATTTACACACTTGGAAATTTTAAACCAAATGTTACAAATATTATTTGTAACATTTGGATTTAAATTTCAGGCTAGAATGCTCATGGAATTCCCGATTCATCTTCTAAATTCAATGAAATTAAGTTTTTAATTATCCATGATCAAACCTCTCGCGAAAATTGAAAAGTTGCCTGAATTTTCACGATTTTCAGTAATTTTGCCTGTCGTATGAACCTGATAAATCAAATTTCATTGAATATTCAAGAACATTGACTGATTTATCAATAACAAGATCAATGGAAATTCCATGTGAATTATTCGTTGTTAGAAATTTCAAAAATAATTTTCTAACAGTGTTGTTACATCGTAATTTGGTTTTGCTGCAGCCCATCAATACATTCCTACAACTAAATATAATATTTTTCCTTATTCTTTATTTCGACTAGAATAAAATGACTATAAAATCGTTGTTGAGGCACAGCCGTCTAATACTCGTCTCTCTCTTAGAATGACTAGAATATATTTCTTGATTTTGACTAGAGCTCCCGAATTTTATTCAGTACAATGTATTCTTCACTGACTAGCTGCCACGAAGGGCCAATAATTACAAATAATTTATTATTATACGCAATGAAATAAATAGAATAAACCAGTCAATCCATAATCATCGATCGACTAGGCCCTGACTAATTCCATTGCTCGTTAATACTGGCACGTTTCCCAATCTTAATTAAATACTACTAGTTAGGAATAATTTAGTTACTCATAATGACTAGAAAAATCGATGATAATTAATAAAATAAATAGATGATAATTAATTAGTTTCTATATGGCATCAGATCCACGGGCAGTGATTTTTAGCCTTTGTGTTGCGTTGAATAATCTATTCAGTGATTGTAAAATCTAATTGCATAATAATTCGGCCTGCAGAAAGACAATATGACTTGTACTTTTCTCTGTCCTCGGAATGTTTTCGTATGGAGTTTAATTAACTTAGGAACTAATCAAGTCTTTGGGCTCTTTTGATATATCTCTCTGGTTTTTATAATTAGGGGACTAGA